AACCCCCACACATGCCCCACCCCCCTGCACATGCATATGTGCCTTCCCCTCACACATCCCCACCTGTGCAGTGGAGAGAGGGTGCTGCATGTCACCTCTGGCACGCGTGCCATAGGTTCACCATCATGGTACTAGACTATTACAATTTGTGAGGCCTACTGCTAAAGGACAATTCACAGTTCTTAGGAACAGACCTGGGGAAGTGTGTAAGAACTGTAAGCACCAGCCATTGAGTGTGTGTGTGTTGCCTAAAGGCCAAGGATGCTTGTGTTGGGAGCCCACTGATTTTGAGATTTTAAAATAGGTTTACATAGATTTTATCTATTTGTATCGATAAAAAGAACCTGTGATAAAGGGGTGGCAGAAACAGGATAGCTAAAGAGTGGGCCCTCCGACACAAAGGGGCAACCACACAAGGGATGGTGGCAATTTAATACACACCAAATGAAAAGAAAACAAGCCTTGGCTTAGAAAGGGTGCAAAAGAAAGGGAGTTTGGTCCTTGCAGAGCGCAGGTTTTGCTGAGTTTACTCAGTCGACGTCCTACTTGAGGAAACCAGACCCCATACCAGAACTTACACCAAACACTGACATGAAAAAGGGGTCCAGGTGAGGCTGAAGAGCTGGCTCTGTCAGTTGGCTCGGGACCCCAATGGGGGAGCATCAAACTGGAAGGGATTGATTGGCCAACAGCAACTTCCATTCCCCCCCCCCCCGTACATTCTGTTCCATTGGTCCCCATTTTTCAGTTTTAGTAATAATTTGTTTCTATTGTGATTTTAGACTTTTGTGTGTGTGTGTGTTTATATATATATATATATATATATAATGGTGCTCTCTGAGGTTGCTTGTTTTCTTGCAGATGTTTCATTACCCTAACTCGGGAGAGAGGGGAGGGAGGGAGGGAGGGAGAGAGAGAGAGAGAGAGACAGACAGACAGACAGACAGACATATACCCTGTTTCCCCCCAAATAAGACATTCCCCCGATAATAAGCCCAATCGGGCTTTTGAGCGCATGGCAATAAGGCCAAGCGCTTATTTCAGGGTTCAAAAAAATATGACAGGATCTTATTTTCGGGGAAACACGGTATATTGAAATACACACTCACACACTCATATATATATAGAGGGCCTTGATAGAAGCTCCTAACAATCTGGGTCCTCATTTTATCAATCTCAGAAGGATGGAAAGCTGAATCAACCTTGAGCCAGTCAGGATCGAACTTATGGCAGTGAGCAGAGTTAGCCTGCAATACTGCATTCTAACCACTCTTCTAGTTAAACACAAGATAGAGCCAGGGGAAACCCCACCAATCAGACGGCATCCCTACAGGATTCCTGAATGGCTAAAAGGAGTGTTACAGACTGAGGTAGAAAAATAAATGCTCCAGATGATAATAGCCATCTGTAGATGACGGGTGGTTTCTCATTGTTTTGGTGCCAAATTAGAGTATCGAGATACGCTTTTGTGTATATTTTAGATTAGACAGATAATCGGAGTGGCAAAATTTGATGGTTATCCAATGTCCAGAATGGATGAACTTTTGGATGATTTATTTTAAGGGGAGCCAAGTATCTCTCCCCTTTGGATTTGACAAAAGGATACTGGCAAATCCCACTGAATACCAATCCAGAGAGAAGAATGTGATTATGAACGCTCTGTTTTGTTTTCAGAAGACAGGCCAAAAAATAGTGTATTCGAAATTACAAGGTTGTAAATTTTGTTTGGACATCAGAAAAAATAACCTTCTAATGGCAACATTTATTCAGCAAGGGGAAAGATTTCTCCCAGAAGTGGTGGGTTCCAGCTGGGTGACCTTGGGCCAGTCCTTCTCTCCAGCCCAAGGAAGCAGGCAATGGTAAACCACTTCAAGAAATCTGGCCCGTAAAATTGCAGGTTTGTCAAGGAGTCAACACTGACTTGAAGGCACATGAACAAAATGTTCCAGGAGGGTGGGTTGACTAAATGATCTCTTATGATTCCTTCCAATTCCTCCATTCTATGATTGTTAAGTGAATCGGATCATCCCAGTAAATTATTATGCAACTGGTTTAGCGTCTGCCTCAAAGACAGCTTTTGCATTCATGTCACCAGCTGCGTGAACAGAGAGCATGGGCAGAGCGAACAGCTACCAAATGCAACTCGGTGAAACCACCTGCAAAAGACAGGTAATCCTCCACTTACAACAGTTCATTTAATGACTGTTCAAAGTTACAATGGCATTGAAAAAAGGTGTCTTGTGACCGTTTTTCACACTTCTATCTTTTCAGCATCCCCACGGTCATGCGATTTAAGTTCGGATGCTTGACCCCTGATTCACATTTATGACGGTTGCAGTGTCATGTGATCTCCTTTTGTGACCTCCTGACCAGCACCCGATTCACTTAACAACCGTGTAGCTCGTTTAAAGAACTGCAGCGATTCCCTTTCACAAAGGAGGTGAGAAAAATCATAAAAAACGGGGGCAAAACTCACTTAACAACCTAAATTTTGGGCTCCGTTGCGATCCTAAATTGAGGACCACCTGTACTTTTAATCCCATTCAAAGGCGGTCTCCAGATGAATGAACTCTTCAACAAAGAGACGGCGAGAGGTCTCTCTGGGACAAAGGGGGGGGGGGAGAAGAGCTGCAGGCCCTTAAAAGCGAGAAAGATGCACGCGGCTTCTTTAAAACGTCAACCCGGGGCTGCAAGTTTGGGGTTGCCAGGAAGAAACGTGCCCGCCGGTCGTGAGAAGAGATGATCGGGGGACACGAGGCGATGGGGTGGGGGGTGGAAGCCAGTTTAGCAAAACGTTTCGAAGGAAGCGGGTCTCTTTTTAGCCTCGATTTCCACGGACACCTCAATTTTTACAGTGGATCCGGATAGGATCCCATGCTCAAACCCCCCACCCCCACCCCTCCTTTTCTCTTTGCACCCAGAGAAGCTGGCTGGTCAAGCGGTTTGCACACCCCCACTCCCCTCGCCCTCTGCTCCAGCTGCGGTGGTCCTGGTGGAAAACGCACCCTCCTTTCTTTCTTTCTTTCTTTCTTTTGCATTTTGCAAAGCAGCCCCTCCCCGCGCGCCCGACCGAGCCCGAAAAAGGAGGCGGCAAAGCCGGGTGGGGTGGGGTGGGGGAAACCCGGGGAATTCCTGCCGCTCCTCAAGCCCGATTCGCACGATCGTTGGTGCAATTCCCGCCAACGCCGCCCGGATCCTCAGTCTCCCGCCCCCCCCCCCTCCGCGACCCAAACCTGAGCGACTCCCGCTCCGACATCATCCATGGCCTCGCGCGGCGGTGGCAGCAGAGCCGGCCCCGCAGTGACGTCACGCTCCCGGGGCGAAGAAAGGAGGGGGGAGGAGGAGGAGGAGGGAGGGAGGAGGAGGAGGGAGCCGCTTAAAGGGGCAGCGCTTCCATTCATCCGTCTCAGACAAAGAGCGAGGAGGAATTTCCCCGCTCGGGATCTATTCAAGGTTGATTCTCCCTTTGGAAGCTTTCCCCAATCCGGCTGTGCCGGCTCTATTAGGACCCTTCCCAGTATTTCCAGCCCCAGAAAGCCAAGGGGGCTGGGGATTATGGGGGCCGCGGGGTAGACTGCGATGCCCATAATCCCCAGCCCCCGTGGCTTTCGGCGGCTGGAACTACTGGGAAGGGTCCTAAGCAGATCCGGTACAACCGAACTGGGGAAACCTGATGATGCCCTCTCGATGGGGTAGACTGCGATGCCCATAATCCCCAGCCCCCGTGGCTTTCGGCGGCTGGAACTACTGGGAAGATTCCTAATAGATCCGGCACAGCCGGACTGGGGAAACTTAATGATGCCCTCTCAATGGGATGACTACGTGCCCATAATCCCCAGCCTCTGTGGCTTTTGGCGGCTGGAACTACTGGGAAGGGTCCTAAGCAGATCCGGTACAACCGAATTGGGGAAACCTGCCCCCTCGATGGGGTAGACTGCGATGCCCATAATCCCCAGCCCCCGTGGCTGGGCAGAGCCGTTCTGGAGAGTTTTAAGAGCCCCATACCTATACAAAACGTAATTTAGAAAAGGGGCTCGTTTGAGGTCCGTGTTTTTTTCATGTTTAATGGGACCGTGGCGTCTCGCGTGGGTTTACTCAGAAAAATACCAATGTGTCATGTAAACGGGATCGGTGGAGCATCGAATATGCCACTTAAAAGTATATTTGGGGTGGCTGCTCTGCCCTCAATTCCTGGCACCCAGGAAAAGCAAGTTACTGGGGGGGGAAAAAAATAGAGGCGAAGGGCAGAGAAAAAAGACCCAGCGAGAACAGAATCAGGTTTGTAGGATCCTTGGTGCTATGAGCTTGGCTGTTTGCTTGCAAGACGTCTCATTACCCTGCTAGGTAACATAATAGAAATAATAGAATAACAAGAGTTGGAAGGGACCTTGGAGGTCTTCTAGTCCAACCCTCTGCCCAGGCAGGAAACCCTACACCACTTCAGACAAATGGTTATCCAACATCTTCTTAAAAATTTCCAGTGTTGGAGCATTCACAACTTCTGCAGGCAAGTTGTTCCACTTATTGTTTTAACTGTCAGGAAATTTCTCCTTAGTTCTAAGTTGCTTCAGTGAACTCATTTGTCGGTTTGCTCTCTTTACATCTGTGGTACACTTGGGAGGGGAATCTACTCAACAGGTGCAGATCCTTGATTAATACTAGCTGATATGGGCAGTTCGCAAGACCCTTTCCATTTGCAAACATGCCCACTTGTAAACGAGCACTTAATTGTTAGCAAGGGGCATACAAAACCCTTCATTTCCTAAACAACTGAGCAGTAAGTCCTTTCTGGGGTTGATCTGACTTTGGCTTGGCAGGTTTAATCGGGGTTCATTTGACAAACATGGGGTTCACGTTTGAATGGGTGATTCTGCAAACCGAAGTCTACCCAATCTGCCAAATCAATTCTCTTAAAAATCAGGAACTCGAGAGGACATCCAGCAAAGGACTCTTGAAATTTTAGTTCCCTTCCCCAATGAAATCCAGTCAACAGCAGGAGCACCAGTATTAAGGTTGGTTTTATTTATTTTTTTTAAGAACAAAATAAAATGGGGGAAAAAAAAAACTAGTTAGGGTCCATGGGATCAAAGTCTTTTGTCATCTCAAAATATCCCCCGTTGCCACACTTGTGGCAGTCATTCCAGCATGATGAGATACAATGCAGGCCGCCCTTTTCACTACTGAATATACAATACAGCAATCCAGAACAATTCAATTCCCAGTTGGGTTGTTTTTAAAAAAATTTTTCCTAGCCCTCAAGATTAATTGATAAAAGTGCATGGGTAGCACCCCAAAAGCCATTAACTGCCATTTCCAACAAACGAACCTTAAGATTCTGTACTTGCAACATTTCTTATCCTACAGCCCCCGTTTCATCGACTTTCCCCATTTCTACAGACAGCAAAAATCCATCTTTTCAAAGATTGGCATCTTGATTACTTTTAAGCATGTCTCTGTAAGGATGCTCCCCAAACTTTCTGTCGGAGTCATAAATTATAGGAATGGTAGGCTTAGCGAGTTGTGAATAGAACCATGAAGATTTATGGCCATTTCATGAATGGGAAAGTAGCCAAATAATTATTATGCAACACTTGAAAGGATAAATCTATGCCAAATCTACAGCAGTGGATGTTTTTAAGTTCCCTGCTCTGAAAAGAAACCTCAGCTGATTTTAGAAAGCAAGGCCAGTTTAGTACTTGAATGGGACCACTAGAAAAATTCTAGGACTAGATTTTTTTTTTTTTTTTAAAGAATTGAAAAAAACATCCTGAAAGAAGGCAACAAGAAGCAAGTTCCAGGCTGTCGCCAAGAAAAAAAAAGACATGGATATGATAATGAAATCACTTGGGATCAAGATCAAGGCCTTATTTTACTACTCTTTAGCGACATCTGAATTAGTTCTTGACAAAGAGGGAAGAACATCCTTAAACCATCTGATCAAATCTGCTTGAGGTTTCTAGACAGTTAAAAACAACTTCTTTCTCTATAATGGTATGTAGTCACTATCCTATTAAATAGTGGTTTGTAATGTATGAACAGCACTGAACCCAAGATCTGTTTTTTGGTTTTCTTCCTGTACAGGTAATCCTTGACTTACAATTCATTTTTTTAAAAAAATTGATTTATATGCCGCCCTTCTCCGGAGACTCAGGGCGGCTTACAATGTGTTAAGCAATAGCCTTCATACTTTTGTATATTTATACAAAGTCAGCTTATTGCCCCCACAAACTGGGTCCTCAATTTACCTACCTTAGAAAGGATGGAAGGCTGAGTCGACCTTGAGCCTGGGGAGAATTGAACTTGCAGTAATTGCAGGCAGTTGGATGTTAAATGCTGCCTTAGGAGGCATTAGCCTCCTACACCACTCAGGCTCCATTTAGTGACCAAAGTTACAATGGCACTGAAAAAAGCGACTTATGACTGTTTTTCACACTTATGATCTTTGTAGCATCCCGATGGTCATGTGATCAAAATTCAGACGCTTGGCAACTAATTCATATTTATGACCACTGCTGTGCCCCAAGGTCACACGTGATCAACTTCTGTGACCTTCTGACCAAGCCAAGTCAATGGGCCGAGGTGGCGCAGTGATTAGAGTGCAGTACTGCAGCTACTTCAGCTGACTGCTAGTTCAGCAGATCAGATCTCACCGGCTCAAGGTTGACTCAGCCTTCCATCCTTCTGAGGTGGGTAAAATGAGGACCCAGATTGTTGGTGGCAATATGCTAATATGCAATATGATATATGCTAACTTTGTAAACCACTTAGAGAAGGCTGTAAAGCACTATGAAGCGGTATAAAGTCTAAAAAAAAACGGGGAAGCCACATTCACGTAACACTCCTGCTACTGACTTATCAACTGCAGTGATTCACTTAACAACGGTGGCAAGAAAGGTCATATAATGGGGCAAAACTCACTTAACAAATGTCTCACAGAAATTTTGGCCTCATCTCTGATCATAAGTCAAGGACTACCTGTACCATTACTGATTCTTCTTAATAAAAGTGGGGAGGGGGAGAAATGATACTGTGCTTGCCATTTTTGAAGACAACGCTCTACTTTCTCCAGAACATCTGTTCCCACCATGCTCATCAATGCCCCGGGTCTACAAAAACCAAATTATGTGACAACAGCAAGTTACCCAGAGCCTTCTCTTTGTTTTGCCTCTGTTGGGTCAGCAGAAAGGGCCATCAAAACCTACCAAGGCCTGGTCTCCATCTTGAACACCATGCTTGTATTCACAGCCATGTGGTCAAAAAACTTCCTTCATGTTGGCTGTTCTTCCCAAATGTCTCAGGTGGATGAATTGCTGTATTTCTGCGGTACAATTATGGAGGAGCTGCCGAGAACCGGGCCTACTACCTCCTCCAGCAGATCCCTCGCTCCTCTGCCGTTTCCTGTAGAATTATTGCCTTTTTTAAAATACCTGGATAAAATTGCACTAGGCAGCTGTTCCCATCAAACGCCACAGTAGAGACTTTCTTGGACATCCAAACGATGTCGAACTCAGCAAATGTCACCCGTGAAGTTTAGGTGGCTGCCAACTTCTCCTTCCACCGTTTTCAGGTTCTCGAAAGGCTTCAGATAACCTAAAGCCTCATCTGTGCGGCTGAGTGATGACAAGAAGATCGGAGAGAAGGTCCAAGGCCACAGATGGCTGGCAGCATGTACCAACTGTATCTGAACGTTGGTGGGAGATCAATCTCCTCTATGCCATACTGCTTAAGGTTTTTTGACCCCCCCGTTTCTTTGGCTGAGATAGTTCCAGGTCTCATCCATCTCACTAGGGAAGGAAGGAGGTATCTCAAGTGAGATTTCTCCTCTCTGAACCCATAGCCACAATCCCAATATCATTCCTACTTGGACGACAGCTCTGTCCACTGTCATAGGATGTCTGAACAAACTCTGGATAGGATTGGGCTGTAAAAGAGGTAGCCATATTTTTTATATATATATAAAGGGCCATATGGCTCCTGTGAGGGATTTCAATCAGAATAGAGCTGCAAGAGACCTTAGAGTACAGCTCCCTTCCTCAAGCAGGAGACCGTATACCATTTCAGACAAGTGACTGTCCAGTCTCTTTTTAAAAAATCCCAGTGATGAAGCACCCACAATTTCTGAAGTCAAGCTGTTCCACTGTTCAATTGTCCTCACAGTTAGGAAGTTCCTCCTTAATTCCAGGCTGTTTCTCTCCTTGATTAGTTTCCATCCATTGTTTCTTGTCCTGCCCTCTGGTGCTTTGGAAAATAAGTTGACCCCCCTCCTCTTTGTGGCAGCCCCCCAATACTGGAATACTGCTATCATGTCACACCTAGTTCTTATTTTCTCTAGACTGGCCATATCCTGCAACCGTTCTTCATTGTTTTAGTCTCACCAGGCCTTTAATCATCTTAGTTGCTCTTCTTTGCACTTTTTGCAAAGCCTCAACGTCTTTTTTGTAACGCGATGACCAAAACTGGATGCGGTATTTCCAGGTGTCGCCTTGCTAAGGCTTTACAAAGTGGTACTAATACTTCACAAGATTTTGAATCTACACCTCTGTTTATACAACCAAGGATTGTATAAGCTTTTTTGGCTGCTGCCGCACACTGCTGGCTCATGTTTTAAGCGATCGTCCACTAGGACTCTGAGGTCCCTCTCAGTTATGGTTTTTGAGCCAGGTTTTGCCTAATCTGTACTTACTTGTACCTTTGGTTTTTCCTGCCCAGATGTAAAACCTTGCTCTTCTCCACATTAAATGTCATGTTGTTGGATAGGGCCCATTGTTCAAGTCTGTCAAGATCTTTTTGGATCCTGAGCTTGTCTTCTGGGGTGTTGGATGAGGACAGATCCCAGGAATCCATCTCCTACCGCCTTCTATTCGAACTAATTAGATCCCTTTCACTTCCCAGACTATCCAGGAGCTTCATGTCATGTACTGTCTACTCTGCTAATCCACTAGGCCCTTCCCACACCCATCCAAAGAATCCAGGGCTTCCACCCTCTACCACACTAGCACTAATCCTATCCCACAAAACTCAGGGATCCTGGCTCGTTACCCCTACAACTAATCCCTACAGCCCACGTACCCTCCCTCAAGAGCTCAGGAGTTCCCCCTTTTCCACTTCCCACCGCTACCCGACTTCCTCCTCCTTCAACGTATGAGGACGTTGATCTCGGTCACACTGGCCTCCATGACGTTCTCCGCCGTGGTCTTGCCGTGCTGTTCCTTGAGGTGGCGGCGAATGGCGGGCTTGTGGGCAAAGCGCACGTCGCAGTATGAGCAACGGTAGGGCCTCTCGCCACTGTGGAGGTTCATGTGATCGTGCAGCGTGGACTTCTGGGTGAAGCACTTCCCGCAGATGGTGCAGGAGTGAGATTTCACCCCGCGATGAACATTCATATGCCGGTTGAGGTTGCTGCTGTGGTTGAACTGCTTGCCGCACCGAGGGCACATGAAAATGAAGTGATGGGCCCGCATGTGGAAGACAAGCTTCTCCACCCCTTGGAAGACTTCCTCACACTTGGTACAACAGATGATCCTAGAGATCCCGCTACCTCCCCCGAGGGTTCCTGAACTGCCCCCTCTCCCAACCACAGGAAAGGTGGAGAAAGGACGACCGCTCAGTCCCGCCAGGACCAGTCCCATCCCACCGCTGCTGCTCTGGCACTCGGCCGCAACGGCTGCCGCCTCGCTAGTCTCCTCCAAGTAGCCTCCCCCAGGGATGATCAGGAGGCCTTTACCTACGTCATCCTCAGAGAGGCTATAGGAGGCCTTGACCACACCATGCTGAGCTTTCTCTGGTGTAGATTCTGGAGAAGACTCAATGGCTTCTGCCACCGTAGAGTTGACTTGAGGTTCTTCCTGATCTCCGGATTCGGCTTTGTTCCACCCTGGCAGAGGAGATAATTCTTTGTCCCAGGCTTCTTGTGGTGAGCTTTCCTTGTTCCAACTTTGCTGAGGTGATGTGTCTTTGCTCCAGCCGGTGCCCATCTGCTGCTGTTGCTGCTGCTGTTGCTGTTTCTTCTGCCGCTGGGCCACTTCCATGGCCGATTCAATCTTCACGATGCAGATGTCAGAGACGGAATCTTCATACCCAAAATCCTCCTCCTGCTCCTCTTCCTCCTCTTCGGCCTTCATCTCCAACTCTTCTTCCAATGGGAATTCCAGCTTAACGGGCCGCTGAATGGACCTATCAACCATAAGAATACATTTAGAACATTAGAAAGTTTGAGGCACGGGTAATGCCACCGTCTTACAAGGAATTAAGACGATTGGTTTATTATTGCAAGCCAATTATCTCTCCAGTCTAATTAGCTCTATCCATCTCTAGAGACAGGCAGTTCTTCTCAGTACAGACAGTCCCTTGACTTTCGACCAGAAGTGAGCCCCAAATTTCTGTAGCTAAGCAAGACAGCCGTTAAATGAATTGTGTGCCCCATTTTATGACTTTTATTGCCACAGTTGTTAAGTGAATCAGTGCAGTTTGTGAAGTTAATAACTCGGTTGTTAAGTGAATCTGGTTTCCCCATTGACTTTGCTGGCCAGAAGATCACAGCTAATAATAATGGAATAACAGAGTTGGAAGGGATCTTGGAGGTCTTCTAATCCAACCCCCTGCTTAGGCAGGAAACCCTACACCACTTCAGACAAATGGCTATCCAACGTCTTCTTAAAAAGTTCCAGTGTTGGAGCAGTCACAACTTCTGGAGGCAAGTTGTTCCACCGATTAATTGTTCTAACTGTCAGGAAATTTCTCCTTAGTTCTAAGTTGCTTCTCTCCTTGATTAGTTTCCACCCATTGCTTCTTGTCCTAACCTCAGTTGCTTGGAAAAATAGCTTGACTCCCTCTTCTTTGTGGCAGTTCCTGAGATATTGAAACACTGCTATCATGTCTCCCCTAGTCCTTCTTTTCATTAAACTAGACATATCCAATTCCTGCAACCGTTCTTCATATTTTAGCCTCCAAACCCCTAATCATCTTGGTTGCTCTTCTCTGCGCTCTAGTCTCAACATCTTTTTTACATCATGGCGCCCAAAACTGAAGGGTTATGACCTTGGGATACAGCATAATGCAATAATGCCAACATAAACCAAGTAATATCATATAAATGCCAGGATCATGTATCTGTGCCCCTGTATTTGTGTATCCGATGCAAGTACATGTAGTCCTCCACTTACGACCATAATTGTTGAGCCCAAAATTTTTGCTGCTCAGTGAGACAGTTATTTATTAAATGAGTTTTGCCCCATTTTATGCCACAGTTATTAAGTGCATCACTGCAGTTGTTAGTAACATGGAATATTTCAACCGTCATGAATATGAGTCAGCTGCCAAGCATCTGAATTTTGATCACAGGGACGCTGCAACAATCATAAGCATGAAAAATTGTCATAAGTTGCTTTTTTTAGTGCCGTTGTAACTTTGAACGGTCACTAAATGAACTGTTGTAAGTGGGAGACTATCTGTAATTACACAGGATAGACAACTGCAACAGAGAACTATCATTGCTCTGGCTGCCCAGACTATTACCTTGCTTACCCAATATATTCCTTAGAGCACACAGTTAAAGAAATACCAATAAGAACAATTTTAAATAGCTTGCATTGGTCAGCTATGGTGAGTAAGAATCACCTCTAGGTGACCAGGCAGGAAACTTTTTTTTCTCCAAAAATATTGCTTCTTTCCCTGGATTTTTTTTTTTTTCTTTTAGGAAGGAACTTAAGACTAGTGGTGAAAAGGGCACCCAAACAGGCTAATAATTGTTTTGTACAAGTATTTGCAAGACTGAGCAATTCTTCAGCAAACCTCTTGCGTGAGTGCACTTTATTGGATGAGGTAGAGCAACCCACAACACTGGAAGACTTGAATTTCCGGTAGCCTCCAAATTTGGACGTTTCTTCCTTGAGGTTGATCTTGGGTTCGATGAACTGGGACAGGGCATTTCGACATTTCTCCACCACGTGCTCCATCTGGAGGTAGCTGGCAGCCGTCAGATAGTTCACAATGTCCCTGACAGCAAACTCGAGTGCTCCAGTGTAGCAAGAGAGAAGAAGATCAGCTACAATTTTGGCGCTGTGCATGAGGGAAACTTGGAGCTCGGAAGAAGGGTTGAGCAGGAATTGATCTCTCAGGAACGGGGAGCAGGCTGCCAAGATGACCTTGTGGCCACGGAACTTGAGGCTGTCCGCCACGATGGTGACGTCACAAAAACGCTCCTCAAAGCGCAGCTGGTTCATGTTACGTAGGGTAGCGGCCTCGTGCCCAGGCAGCTGAAAGCGAAGGAGCTCCACGCCAGACGCCATTTTGGCTCTTGCGAGGTGGCCGACTTTCACACGGAGAGGAAGAATAGAAGAGGCTGAGGGGTCAGGGTTGAAGAAAACAGGCACTGGGGGGGAAAAAAGGGGGAAGAGGAACAGGAAACTGAATTTAAGACTTTAAATAATCTCACTTTGAACAAAGTGCCACAATCCTCCCCCCATACCACTCCCAAGGCTTCACAGAAGGTGCAAAATTTTATTTATCCACTCTGGAATTAGCAAATTGCATGAACCAAGTACGCACATCCTACTCAATTAATCATCCTCTAATTGGAGTTATAGAAACTAAAATGAAAAAAAAATGCATAATGTTGGCTGAGTTTACACAGTGTGTTATGTCATAGGGTGGTTTGTTTGGCTTTAGCTAGCTATATTGTTTTGAAACCAGCCTTTGTGGCATATAACCAATGTTTCATGGCTTGGCATGAGATATATATCCATCCAAAACCTTTTGCTTTTTTTTTTAAAGAATAAGAGCAGATAATAATTGTTTCCTGATTGCTTATTTGTACCCTATGACTATCATTAAGTGTTGTACCTTATGATTCTTGATAAACGTATCTTCCTTTATGTACACTGAGAGCATATGCACCAAGACAAATTCCTTGTGTGTCCAATCACACTTGGCCAATAAAAAATTCTATTCTATTCTATTCTATAAACTGCTCTATGTCCTAAATCATAGTTCAAATCGAAACCACTTATCAGATGTAAGTTTGCTTGTTTCACACCACTTATTAAGCTATAGACCACAGTTTTACAAACAACTACCGAAATGTTCTAAATTTCTAAATCTAAAGAATTGACCTATCTGTACTGCAAAACCTCAAACTACCACTAGACAGCTACAAAGAAGCCTGGGAAATAAAACTGTTCTCTGCTGCCATCTAATGGTTGGGTGGTGTTCTGCAGTCCAAATACCAGCAACCCTAGTTTTATATGATGTACAAACCTAGCATTTCTTTCAGCTTCAATGATTTCAAATCTTTATTGTCAGTGCACAACATATGTACAATGAGATTGGTACAATGTCATGTACAATGATATCTCCCAAACTTCAGATTCCTTTATCAATCATGTACCACAAGAATATGGGAGGGAGGGAGGGGGGAAAAAAAGCCCAACAGATTAAGCACATTTTTGTTCCCCAAAGTTAAAAAAGTTATTGTGACCTCAGTGTCTCCATCCTGGCTTACACAACCCATCAAGATTTGATTTTTAGCTTGGGACATTAAGAGAATCTAATCAATCAGAGCCTGGATAGCTCTGCAGACAAAAGCACTGTAATTTAACACCAGCTGTCTGCAATTAAAGTAAGTTCGAATCTTGCCAGGCTCAAGGTTGACTCAGCCTTTCATCCTTTCTAAGGTAGGTAAATTGAGGACCCAGTTTGTGGGGGCAATAAGCTGACTTTGTATAAAATATACAAAAGTATGAAGGCTATTGCTTAACACACTGTAAGCCGCCCTGAGTCTCCGGAGAAGGGCGGCATATAAATCAAATTAAAAAAAAAATACTATTCTGCTTCAGGGCTTGCAATATCATCTCTAAATCTGGGCTTCCCTTGCAAAACATCAATTCCTACATTGCACTTTTTTTTTTTTTGAGTTTGTGCCATGAAGAAGTTATTTTCGACTTCTATACGTTTTCCGCAGGATGAATATTGCATCTACTCATACAAAAAAAAGAGAGAGAGAGGGAAGCATGCATGTAGTTTCCAGCTCATTTCCCAAAGTGTTTTCTACGCCCTGCTCATCTTTCACTTCTCCTGTTATGATAAAGATGGCCTGCACGTTTAATTTAAAGAGCCCACGTTGCAGGCATCGAGCCAACGGACACGGCTTTTCCATACCGAGCATCTTCACGTGCGCGCCAACTTCCAGCGCGAAGTTATTCCGCCGCACAGAAGTTGGAAGCGGAGAGAGAGAGAGAGAGCGCTTGCAAAAAAAAAAAAAAAGGAAAATAAAAAAAGTGTGGATTAACTTTACGGGCGACGGCTGGGGGAGGTGTGGCATGAATTTCACACCAAAGGGGAGCGCCGTGGGAAAGGGGCAAAACCTCCGCGGTTCTTATACACACACACACACACACACAAACAAACACGTGTGTATGTGCGAAAGTCTGCCGCGTTGCTCCTCGCGGCTTTCCCAACCTTGGATCAAAGCTCGGAAGCGCTGGATCAAAAAAGATCGGAAGCGATTCCTCGATTGCAAAGCGCCGCTTTCTAGGCACCGCAAAAAAAAAAGAAAGAAAGAAAGAAAGAAAGGAAAAGAAAAAGGCGGGAATCTTCCCTTTTCTCTCTTGCAGCAGCACAAAGCCTAACCTGCAACCTTTTTGCTCTTCTTCTTCTTCTTCTTTTTTCGGGCGGGCGTGCAAGAAAGAGCTCGCACTTTTTTTCTTTTCTTTCCCCCCCCCCTCCTCGTTTGCAACGTTTCCAAACCCCGGGATTCTTCTCGCATGCACAGTTGCACGCACAAAACCACCCGCTCCGTTGCTGCTGATCCCGGGCTCTCTTTGCAGGCTCCTTTCTTCCTTGCAAAAGAACCGGAGACCCACCCACCCACCGCTTCCCGGGTCCAGCAGAAGACCCCCCGCCCCCCCTTCCCCAACCTCTTCTTCCCCCCCCCCACCTCACCTGGATCGCGGTTCCCCCTCTCTTGGAGGAGAGGGGACGGCCCCAAATCGCCCAAAAAAAAAGGAAAGGCAAGCCAAAAGAAAGGAATTAAAGGGGCCTCCTTAAAGGGCCAGAAATATTTGTCAGCCAGATAGAAAAAGAGAGAAGATGCAGGGGGTGGGTGGGAAACTCCGAAAAGGGTCAATGAAAAGAAGGTGGGAAGAAGCAGAAAGAACTTCATTGCATTGTGGGAAGAGAAGTCCACCCGTGGGATCCTTTAAACGCCCACCCCTCTTCCCCTTTAAGGCCAGTGACGTCATCAACCCGCGCCTGGAGGGCAGGAGGGGAGGGGTGCATTCTTCAGCCTCCTCCAAATCACCTTGGCAACTAACCCCTCCCCCCGCCTCCCCCCCCCCCGCGCCTTGGAAAACCTCTTTTTGTAGAGATGGCGGAGTTTTTTTGTGGGGGTTGTGGTTTTTTTTTCCCCTCCCTTTTTTAAAAAAAAAGAAAATTATGAGGGGAAAGAAAAAGAGCTGGAAAGAGGCGGCTATGCCGTCTTCGAGAGGGCAGCGTGCCAAACGTAGTTTCTGAAATTAGCCCGAAAAGCTCTCCAGCCCTTCCCAGTTGCAGAGCTTGTCAAGGCTGCAAGGAATTTCCTTTTTCTCATCTAAACAACCGGCTTCCCAATGATAAAACTGCTTTTGAGTCATTTGATTTTAAAAAGTCCTGCAACTGCCCAAACCGACTTTTAAAAACATAACCCTGCTTTGAATTTGCTTGCAAAGCAAATGGGTATAGGTAGTCCTCGACTTATGACCACAATGAAGCTGCAAATTTCTGAAGAGAAATGGAATGGAATAGGAATGGAACAAGAATAAAATTATTGTCGCTTTGAATGTACACTAATTGGCATACATTAAAATAAAATTTCACTGCATTCAGCTCTCAAAGGGTGTCCACCTCCAATATACACTACATAAACATGACAAAATAAATAAATAAATATTCTGTGGCTAGGTGAGACATTTGTTACGTGAATCTTGCCCCCATTTTATGGGCTTCGAACCACCCACCGCCATCACTATCGCCCAATCCGATAGTGATGGCAGTGGGTGGTTTGGAGAACCAGTAGCAAAAATCCCTGCGTGACACCCCCCCCCCATTCCCAGCTGAGCCGTGCGATCATCAGAGGCTTTTTCTTTTACTTTTAAAAGCATTTTTTCTACCACTTCTCCAGCTGAAAAAATCCTTTTAAAAGTTAAAAAAAAAGCCTCTGATGATCACGGGGCTCAGCTGGGATCGTCAGAGGCTTTTAAAAGCATTTTTTCTGCAACCTCTTCAGCCGAAGAGGTGGTAGAAAAAATGCTTTTAAAAATAAAAAGCTGGCCACGCCCACCCAGTCACATTAACCCCCCCAAGCCACACCCACAGAATCGGTAGTAACAAATTTTACATTTCACCACTGGTCATAAGTCCCTTTTTTCAGTACCGTTGTAACTTTGAATGGTCACTGAACAAACTCTTGTAAGTTGAGGACTACCTGTATTCTATTTCTTTATTATTCCTTTTATTTACGTCCCAGGCATTTGGAAGTTCCCAGCTAAGTGATGGCTGTTATTAGTGGTAGAAGTCATCAGATCTGTGATGCAACAAATTTCGTTTTTCTCCTTCAGCGCCTTTGTTAAACAACCAGCTTCTTCTATGAGATTTACAATTGTTAACACAGTCCTCAAATTTGCATCCCAGGCATTCAGAAGTTGAATAATGGCTGGGAAATTCCCACTTGGTCCTCAAAACTATTTACTTCCTGGAATATGGAGGCAATTATGGGGTGGGCATCTTTGTGGAGACTAAAACATAAGAAGAACAGTTGCACGATGTGGGTTTGGCTAATCTACAGAAATGGACTAGGGGGAACATGATAGCAGTATTCCAGTATTTGAGAGTCTGCCACAAAGAGGAATGGGGTTCGATTTATTCTCCAAAACACCAGAACACAAGGCAAGAAACAATGGATGGAAACTAATCAAGGAGAGAAGCAACCTGGAATTAAGGAGAATCTTCCTAACAGTGAGGACAATTAACCAGTGGAACAGCTTGCCTTCAGATGTTGTGGGTACTCCATCACGGGAGGTTTTTAAGAAAAGACTGGACAGCCACCTGTTTGAAATGGTATATAGCAGTGATGGCTAACCTTTTTGCCGTCGCGTGCCAAAAGCGGGGAGAGCGTGGGGGGTCACGGGTGCGTGTGCCCACATCCGTAATTCAATGCGCCCTGCCCTCCTGCACATGCGCACGTGACCCCCCCACACACTTCCCCCTGCTTTTGGCACACGATGGCACGGTGGGCTCGGTAGGCCCGTTTTTTCCCCCTCTCCAGGCTCCAGAGGCTTTCTAGGAGCCTGGGGAGGGCAAAAACAGCCTTCCCCATCCCCCCCCCCGGAGGCCGTCCAGAGGCCAAAAACAGCCAGTTCCCCAATTTCCGGTGGGACCGGAAGGCCTGAAAATCAGTTGGCTGGTGCGCACATGCGCGCTGGAGCTGAGCTAGGGCAACACTTGTGTGCCCACCAATATGGCTCTGCGTGCCACCTGTGGGTATATAGTCTTTTGCTTGAGCAGGAGGCTGGATTAGAAGACTTCCAAGGTCCCTTCCAGCTCTATTCTGATTCTGATGCCTGATCACAGATCAAACTTACCAAGGAGCTCCAGAAAATGAAGTGGCAGAAAAAATTGTTTAAATACAGCATAGAGGATATAAATGACACAGTATTTTGTTACTTTTGTAATGCTGGTTATTTTCTGTGACTAGAAAAATCAATATTGTGTTGTTTTAATTCAGGGGTGTCAAACTCCCAGCCCATGGGCCAGATGCGTCATGCGCTGGCCATGTCTATGCCAGGTTTAGCAAAGGGGGAAAAAGTCACGATATATCACGTGACGCCGCCGTGACGACACCGTGACGACGCAAGTTTGACACCCCTGTTTTAATTTGATACACAAAGGATGGGTAAAACCTCTGCTGGAAGTTGGTAATGAAAGTGGCATAAGCAAATAAATCCAATAAATAAATATATACGTTTGGTAGAAAATGAATACAATTGAACACATGTACAAGTTCTTACTTGGGTTTATGACATAAAGACAACAACATTTCAATACTGCACTATTTATTTATTTATTTATTTATTTATTTATTGGTTCGATTTATATGCCGCCCTTTTCCGGACACTCAGGGCGGCTTACAATGCGTTAAGCAATAGCCTTCATACTTTTGTATATACCTGCTTAGTAGGGCTTTCGGGGGCCCCCCCTGTGGTGTTCTTTTTTATACAAAGTCAGCTTATTGCCCCCACAAACCGGGTCCTCATTTTACCTACCTCGAAAGGATGGAAGGCTGAGTCAAGCTTGACTCTGGTGAGATTTGAACTTGCAGTAATTGCAGGCAGTTGGTGTTACTTAACAGTGCTTTAGTCTGCTGCGCCACCAAGGCTCTTCAACTATCCTCATTGCATCAATGAAATGCCATCTATAAGATTTGTTTTAATAACTTATGCTCTACTGGGATAGTGTTGGCAAGACAGAAATAATGGATGGAAACTAATCAAGAAGAGAAGCAACCTGGAATTAAAGAGAAACTTCCTGACAGTGAGGACAATTAACCAGTGGAACAGCTTGCCTTCAGAAGTTGTGGGTGCTTCATCACTGGAGGTTTTTGAGACTGGACAGCCACCTGTCTGAAATGATATAGGATATCGTGCTTGAGCAGAAGGTTGGACTAGAAGACCTCCAAGGTCCCTTCCAGTTCTATTTCCTTCAGAAAAAGGTACAAGACATTTTTTGCTAATAAAAGCCACTTTTGTATGTTGACCAAGGAGCCAAGGAGATAGCCGGGCTAACAATTTGCAAAATAATTAGGGATTGGTTCAATCTAGTGGTGAAATCCAATTTTTTTTACTACCGGTTCTGTGGACATGGCTTGGTGGGCATGGTGTGGCTTGGTGGGCATGGCAGGGGAAGGATACTGCAAAATCTCCATTACCACATCACTCCTGGGGGAAGGATATTGCATTCCTGCCTGCTCTGGGGCCAGCCAGAGGTGGTATTTGCCGGTTCTCTGAACTACTCAAAATTTCCACTACCGGTTCTCCAGAACCTGTCAGAACCTGCTGGATTTCACCCCTGGTTCAATCTTATTGACTCTAAAGATATCAAGTGTTTAATTTCTATCACCATCATTCCTCCTGACACCATCATTCTTCCTGGCACCTTTTGGTGGCTAAGGTGGGAGTGAGGGAATGGACTTGAGAAATAAGGGAGAGGGGCGGTAAGAAGAATGAAATATAAATAAATAATTAAAATGGGTAATGCCTTTTGAGTTTGGGAGGTGATAGATACTTGCAGCTACGAGAAAGGTCTCTTTGAAAGAGGTTATCTGTCAATCCCAGAGACAATTTCCATCCATTATTATGACAGATCTTGGAGAAAGTATTGGGACTTCAGTTGTAAAGAATCCTGGATAAAACTTATTATCTGGATCCAGTGCAGAGCCAGCTGTGAGACCGAGACAGAACTAACTGGCTGTTCCTGTGAATGACCTTTGTTGAGACTTGAATGTTAGGAATGCGGCTTTCCTTGCCTTGCTAGGTTTCTCAGCTGCTTTTTATGCCATCAATCATAATATATTTTGGAACACCTATAGGAACTGAAACTGGGGGCACTGCATTATAATTGTTCTCCTTCCTGAGTGGGTGATATCAGTCTCTAGTGATGAGGGCTGAAGGATGAGACCCATAACCTCTTTTATGTGGGGTACTGCACACTATACAATATATAATATCTACATGAAGCCAGCAGAGGAGGTTATCTGGAGTTAAAGGTGGAATATCAATACAGGTAGTGATTTACAACCATTTGCATAATGACCACTAATTAATTGTTCAAACTGTCAGGAAATTTCTCCTTAGTTCTAAGTTGCTTCTCTCCTTGATTAGTTTCCACCCATTGCTTCTTGTCCTGCCTTCAGGTGCTTTGGAGAATAGCTTGACTCCCTCTTCTTTGTGGCAGCCCCTGAAATATTGGAACACTGCTATCATGTCTCCCCTAGTCCTTCTTTTCATTAAACTAGACATACCCAATTCCAACAGATAATTCATGATTTAAGACTAGATATTCATAATTGGCAAACTACCCTGCCCTTTCCCATCCTTATTTTACTCTTATTATCCTTAGGATAATAAGAGTAAAATAAGATAAGCACACTGAGAATCAAG